TGGCTGGCGGGTCCGCAGCCACTGTGTCGCTGGGATAAGTTAAAACAGCTGTCCTCTTGATGGAATCGGGGCGGATTATGTGGTCCTTGCTGATATTCGTCACGTGACACCATAGCTATGCAACATAACTGTTGCTTTTCCTGCGACCAAACCCTTTGCTGTAAGCGTTCTCGGCTGCGGCAACCAGCTCCGGCATCAGCTGACGGACGCGTCCGCCGCTGCCCGCAGCCAGGTGCGGCTGGACCCGGTGCTGGCGTCGAGCCTGACGGGGGGCCGACCACGGCTCCCTGGCGGCGCTGCGCTGGGACGAGCTGCACCCGCTCCTGCAGCTCGTCTCCCGGCCACCTTGGTTCTGTTCCGCCCAGCCGCCGCTGTGTCAGAAGGGCGCCGTGCCCACCGCGTCGAGCTCAACACCGCCACACGCTCCGGCAACAGAAGGTGGGACGCGTGCTGGGCCCTGCCGATCTGTGTTTGCCTTCCGGCGCGCAGCCACACCGGCCTCCGGCCCCTGCGGCGAATGCTGGCGTGGGCCTGGCTTTACACCTATTGTAGCCGTGATGTAGCATGCATGTCCACAAATAATGGCGTAAGACAGGTTGCCGATGTGTAATCCTTGGATGCGTTCACAGCTGTGTTAGACGCCGTTTGTTGACGATGCGTTACCTAGTACAGTATCACATTGCGACGGTGCCAAATCTGCCGGGCTTGGCTGGCCCTTGCCTGTACATCCGCCCGCGGTTTTTTGTCAGATCACGGCCATGCTGACCCCGTCCGTGTTGTCTCGCACGAGTTGGATGCGCGTCTCGCTGCTTGTTGTCGAATCCTACGGCGCTGAACCTGCCAGCGTGCCCAGGCGCTCGTCAACGCGGCGTCTGGGGTCAGAGGACAGCGCGTTGCTGAGGATGATGGTGAAATTCGTTAGAGTTCAAACCAGCTTGCAAGTTACGTCATTTCACGCAGCGTTAGGATCAATGCTATTTTATCTCAAGCGTGAGGAGGGAGCAGCTGTCCCCTCTGCCCCCCCCCCCCCCCGTCGGTCGGCGCTGACCGCCGTCTGCCTCACGTGCGTCTCCGTCGGCCCGTGCGTCAGATCACCATGGTGCTGAACCTGCCCGTTCGGGATCGACCCGGCCGAGTTCGCGCACCGCTGCCAGGTGGGCGTGGCGGCCAGTACCAGCGTCGGCGAGGCGCCCAACCGGCCGCCCGGCACCAGCCAGGTCATGGTGCAGGGCAACCAGATCCGCTTCATCGGCAAACTGCTGCAGGGTGAGGACGGATGGCCGCCCGTCCGGACGCGCTCGGGGGCGCGTTAGCGTTGTGTGTATGATGCGTCTCGTTCACGCTCTCGGCACGTTGCAAAGCACCACATCCCAGTGGGAGGTTCGGTGTTTTTTCGCACGCGCGTCACATTTGCGTCGCGCCGCCGTTCGCCGCCGGCTGCACATTACAACTTGTGAAACGGTCTCTATCGTTCTCACAAGATGACAGTACTAAAAGGCCTTGACGGGGAACGCAGCAGACACTGCTTATGGGGATCGGGACTGCTTTCCAGGGGCGCGCGCTTATCGCGCGCTTTGGTGACTGCAGTGTGGTAACCGCACCTCAGCGACGCGGAATGATGTGGCGTGCAACGTCCTATTTTACCCATGCCAGGGATAAACGCGCTCAGCCAGAACGTACTCCCTCAACGCATGTTGTAGAAGTGTCAGTTGGGTCGGGTCGGGCCGCTGACAAGGCTCCGCGCAGTCCGTCTGATCTTGGCCGGGTGGGATCACCTTGAGACAATAAGAGTCGCCAGAGATCAATGAATAATCGGGCGTCTGAGCGCGTTCCGACGACTCGGTTGCGTGCTGGCCCCTTGTTGTGCGGCCGGGCCACAGTACTGAATTTCCTCCCATCTGTGGATGTCCTTCATCAGCGCCTGATCCCGGCAGAGCCTCTGTCGTCTTCCCATGCCAGTGGTGTTGCCCAACCATATGTTATTCGCTGGCTGGAAAAACAACACCGCCCTTTCTGTGTTGTTTATTGCGTCGCGACGGTTGCATTTGAAAAGGATTGCGGTGCCTTCGTAGGGGTGCCCCGTTATGTGGACACACCCCTATATTAAGCAATTTGTGTGGCAACTCAACGCTAAGTGTAATCATTTGAATTTCGATAGATTACGAGAAAACAACGGGATTGGTGTGTCTAAAGGGAAAATGTTCTCTGTCCTTTCAGAAGACTACAAGGTTCCCAAGAAGTACATCAAAGGCCTGGAGAAGGCTCCGAAGAAGTGATGGTTATTTTTTGGTGTTGTCTTTGTGATATCGTGTTCATCTTGAACCGTGTGTTGCTGACACTTTGTTTTTGATAACAGAGACATGACGGTGTGGGGCAAGAAATAATGTCATCGATTTCCGTGAAAGGCCTTATTTGCGACAGACAAACTGTACCGTAAAAGAATTGTGGAAGGCATAGCCACTGCCGAGATCATGATGGCCACAAGCATCTTTTGCCTGGCGTGTTCAAAGCAGATCAGGTTCAGAATTGTTACAAACCACTTTACGGAGTGGTGCGATGCCGGTAAAAAACTGGTTTCGTTCATGAGCTCAAGTAACTTAAACTGCTGGCAAACGAAGCCACTCAGCAGCTGTCATCTTGTCACCCCGCGTGACGTCACACTGTCACCAACGGCCAGCTTCAGCACCGCCTCTCCATCCTCCGGCTCTGGTCCGCTGACGGGACCGGCGAGGGGGGGGGGGGGGCGGCGGCCTTCCTTGCCGCGTCAGCTGGCACTAACGGCGGAAGGGCGTCGTCGCGCGACACCGAACGATCGAACGTCGGCCTGGACGACCTTCGACACGGAGCCGTGCGGGGCCCGATGATGCGGAGCCCGTGGCTGACTCGGGGTCATCACACCGCTATTTCTGGTGGTCAGATACCCGTTCGCACTGTGTACCTCCGTGGTACGGATGCCGCGCAGAGTGGGGCCAGTGAAAGGTGGAAATGCGACTGGAGTATCTATGGTTTTATTGGTACAAGTAAATCTTCCGAATATAAACAAATGTGACGACTTTCGTCGAACGGCGCTCCTATCGAACATGCACCAACTCAATTCTGCGATGGCAATACAACAACGGTAATGTATCGAGAAAACGGTCCTCACGCCTCCGATGGCATTCCAAACAACGGTAATCTACCGGGAAAACACTCACCCCTTGCCACCGTCCGCGCATCCGCGGCTAAACAACTCAGTTTAACGGTCAGGAGCCGGACGCCTGGCGTCGCAACTGCGCCCAGACAAGCGCGCACAGATCCTCGCGGCGGGGAAGGGCGGGGCTGGTCGGCTCGACCTACCCTGATGACGGACAGTCGCCGGCCGCAACGAGCCGCGCGGCGGCGGCGACACAACAGCACACCTATGGCATCTTCGCAAGCTACAGTGGGCGTCGCGCGAGAGGAGCGCGCAGGCGCCGGAAGCGAGAAACTCCGAGCGATGCGGTTGACAGCGTTCGGGCCGTGCGCGACGCGTATTGCACTCGCATTGCATTGCATTGCATCGCGTCGCCCCACACTGCACCGCACCGCATCGCACCGCATCGCTCCGTGGTCGGCATCGCTATCACGGCGGCGCGTCCAGAACTGGAACTGCACGAGAGCTGTCTCCTTCGCCGCCATCGACGGACAGGGAGGCTCCGGCTCATCAAAGCGACCCAGCCGGTCGACCGGTTCTCCTCTCGTCGTGCGTCCGCCAGACGGCTGCTGGCGCGGTGCCGAGATTGGCGGCCGGCTCGGGCGGCCCCACTCAGCTTGTCCAGTGGACCAGTGTCCAACCGGGCGGCCCGCTGCCGATGGGCGGCGGCCGGCTCGGGCGGCTCCCCTCAGCCTGTTCAGCGGACCGATGTCCAGCCGGGCGGCCCGCTGCCGATGGGCGGCGCCTCAGCCGTTGGAGGGCACCTGACAGCGGGAGCGGGGCGTGGCCCGCAGCCGGAGGAACATCTCGGTGGTGTCGCCGCCGCCGGTGGCCAGCGAGCCGGGCAGGCTGGCCGACTGGCACGGGTCGTGCCGGCTCAGGAAGTGCTCCAGCGTGTCCCAACCGCCGCCCACGCGCACCATCACGTGACGTCCCTTCAGCAGCTGGAGGCACACGCGCGGACGCGGTCAACTGGCGTGGCGTGACGGCTCGCGACACGTTCGTCCACAACGGGACGAGTGGAAGTCGCGAGGAATTTCCACTTGTACAGGTCTAGTTTGTGAACTGAGATTGGGGATACACCGGCAGCAGTTACTACGCTTAACCCAAGGCATCGGCGAATCGACATTCGTTTCAAAATGCGTGGACATTTGTGTTACATATCTGTGGGCATAGTCATGAGCACGGAACCTTCGCACGCTGTCCTATCTGCGGCCCGACCCGAGCCGTGTTGCGGCACCGGCGTCCTCCGCCTCGCGCTCGCCGCCTCCGGTGACCCCCACTCACCCGTATGAAGACGGTGCGCCCCGCCACGTTGTACTGGCCCTCCGCCACACGGCGAAGCTGCACGTCCGACATGCAGTTGCTGCGGCACTTGCAGCCGGCCGCCGACTCCTCCACCATCTGCTGCACCTGCGGAGAGGGGGGAAGGCGTCACCGCTGGAGGGTCAGGCGGGGCGGAGAGCGACCGTCGCTGCCCACCTTCTTGACGCCAATCCCGGGGGATACCTTAATGATTCAGTTTCATATATTCGGTAGGATTCAGTTCTGCAAGCGTTAAAACAATGGTGTGGGCCCTGTGCTATCATGACAGGAGCGGTGTTCGTCACAGGTTCTGGGGTTTTCTGTGCTCGAGGAATGTGGCACCCCAACGCATCAGATGCTAAACGACCCTATTTTGTGGTTGATTTTACACGCCGTCTTGACTAGCGGGCTGTTCTCTTAACCTTCGCCCTGATAGGAGGGGGGGGGGGGGGGCATGCGATTTCGAATACCTCCTCTCCGGCATGTTGCGCTATCGGGCCCAAATTTTCGGTAACCTATGGAGCACCCATCGCGCGTGATTGGACACGAAGAACGTGTTCCCAAGGTTTCTGGTTTCGGACCTGTGGCGGTTTTTGAGGAAAACCATGGCGATCTACGGCCGACGCGGGCGGCGGGTGGCAACCGACGGTGCCGCGGAACGCACGCGCCGCGGGCTGACATTGTTACATTAACGAATTCATATTTCATAAATTTGTTCTCAAAACACGTCAAAATATGCACCAATGTACTCAGAGCTGGACAAGGAATACGTCTGTTTCGGTTTTATATCGCCACGGGACATTTTCTGGTATTTGTGTTAAGTGGAAAAAGTGAGATTTTCTGAAACATTTGACCTTCAGCCTGGCATAATGGGGTCCGTTTTGACCTAACAACATGCAAACTTGTAGAGAGCGTTAAATCTAGTTGAGACCAATCCACTAGTGTTTTTTGTTTTGTTTTGCTAAGCTCTATCTTTATTAGTTCGGAAACGCCGGGAGAGTCACCTTGATCCCCTCTCATATCAGTCAGCGCCATGAAAAACGGCGAATCTGGGCGAGGGTTAAGATAGGTGTACTAAGTGACCTTTTCGTGCCTTTCTACGTAGTATTTATCCTAAAACGGTGTATTGATCAGCCTTCTCGTACCTTTTTGTCCAGCAGGCTGTTCTCGCCGCTGGAGGGATGGGTGGGTGTTCGGCAGGTGGGGGTGCTCGCCACGGAGCTGGCCGGCGTCGATGGGCGGTGTGTCGCCTGGGGTCGCCGCGATGTGGCCACCTCCAGCTGGTGCAGCCGCTCCCAGCAGCTGCTGCGTCCGCTCCTCCGTCTGCAGGGCCGGGCACGAGTGTCGGCGCGTGCGTAGGACGCCGTCGCGCGCAGTGACCACGGCTACTAGTTAACTTGTCCGACTCAGATCTCTACGCAGCCGTGGCAATAACCTAGCTAAATATGTGTAGCTTCGGTGTGTTTTTGCTTAATCCTCACCTTGACGTTCAGAACAAACTTCCCCATCGAAACATTTTACCTCAACACGCACCCACGTTCCTGTTTTGGTAGCGGCACGCGACCTGCCACATTCCTGAGCAGCATTCTAATCTCACGCCACCCTCAATTTACCTGATTGTCCAACGCCTGAGTAACACAGCTGTGATCCGTCCCGGCTGTCGACCATTTCCCTCACGTCGCCCTGTGACCCTGACGTCGCGTCCTGTCAGCACCGGCGCTCGACTCCCGGTCCGGGGGCGGCTCGTTACCGGCGACCCCGCTCCGCACATCGACCGCCGCCGCTGCAGCGCTCACCGTCAGCACCTCGCCGCCGCCGCCGCCGCCGCCGCCGCCGCCGCCGCAGCTGCCGCTCGCCTGCAGCGCCATCTTGACGCGCACCAGGTGGGCGCGGCCGCCCTGGGGCCGTGGGGATGCGCGAGGGCGTGCTGGCCGCCGACAGCCCGCCAGCCACGGACAGCCGCGGCGTCGAGCGGTGGTGGGAAGGTGACGTCAGCGCCGACGCCGGCATCGACGACGTGCTGCCGGTGAGGGGGTGGGGTCAGAGAGCGCTGGGGAGGGGAGAGAGGGGGGGGGGGGGGGGCATCGAACCGGGCCCGGCGAAGGCCCGAGGGCGAGGACAGGTATGCAGCCATGATTAGCCTCCACCCCCTGTCTGATACGAACTCTGTCGTCAGCATTCCTTGCAGTTGGCTCCTGGTCTTTATTGTAGCTTATGTACTGCTTAATGCTTTTAAATTTCGACGAAACGAGTAATTCACACATGCAGACGCTATTATATGCGATATTTGCGTCATGCGTAGGCCGCTACTACTTTCTGCTACATTTTGACTGTTTCTTAACAGCTGGACTGTAATTTATGCTGCCTGTTCCGTGCCCACAAACGGCGCCTTTTCCGTTCTTTTGTCGTGTTTTTGACTGCGTTCCGTTCTTTTTGCCAGTGTTCTAGCCTGACCTTGACGCACTACAGCCCTAAACTCTCCAATTACACCTCTAACAATCAAAACTCCTCAAGCCCCGTCCTATCGGCTCCGCCCGTCTGCCGGAGGCCGCCGCGGCTGCGTCGAGACGTACCCGGCGCGCCGCACGCCGCTGCGCCGCCGCCGCACTGGGATCAGCGAGGAGGGGCGCGGCGAGCGCGCGTCGGCCACGTCACGCTCGGCGCTGCGCTCGCGCTCCTGCGCCGTGTCCGAGTAGCCCGAGTCGCTGCCGTCGCGCGCGGCCGCCAGCCGCTCCTGCTCATCGATCTCCTGCTCCAGCTGCACGAGCACGGGCGGCTCGATGTAGCGGCTGCTGCGGCGGCCCAGCTCCAGCAGACACAGCAGCACGCCGCGCGGCTGCGTGTGCAGCACTGCCGGCGGGAATGGCGGTCACTGGACGGTCACTGGCCGTTCACTGAACAAGGTGCCACACAACACTCACGCGGTACAGATGCATGTAGCTGTCACTGGGCGCGGTGGTCATTTGATGCGGCAACATACAGCGGTGACTGGGTACGGCGGTCACTGGTCACGGCGGTTACAAGACAGTCATAGGGTACGACAGTTACTTGTCAAGGTAGCATACAGCGGCCATTGGGTACGGTGGCCACCGCGTAGGGAGGCACGTAACATTCACTGGATGTGGCAGTCACAGGACGCGGTTGCATTCAGCGGCTTCAGCGTGCGGTGGACGGTGGTCACTGCGGGCCGTGGCCACCGGACATAGACACAGCAGCACAGGGCAGTCACTGGACACAGGCACAGCAGCACGCCGGGCGGCTGTCTGGACACCGTTCCCAGGCGTGGCGGTTATGAACATCTCCGTCACTGGAGGGTGCTGGTCGCACTCGCGCACAGTCGTCACTGAACATGGTGGCACACGGCGGTTACCAGGCACAGCACGAATACCGGAACCCCACTCAGTTCCTACACAACAGGCTCTCAGAAGCTATCAGAGCCACAGCACGCCACTTGTCAATCGAAGCTTTTCGGCTTATCGCGGGCGAGGGTTGCCGCGACGACGCGACCGATCTCTTATCAACAAACAGCGGATCCCCGGCGCGTTACGCTGTTGGTCGCTTCGCCGACACCCCTGCAGTGCGGCGCACATCCCTGACGCGCGAGATCATCCCACGCAGAAGACACGTCGCTGAGCACCCGCATCCACAATCTCTGTCTACGGATAAGACGGGGCATCCCTCACATTTATGGCACGTCATTCGTCATGAGCAAGGATCTGGCGCGTTTTCTCTCATTACGAGTGTAAATATACAACGCTGACCCCGGGCCCGAGCCATGTGGTTTGAAGATGCAGCTTGAAAACACACGTGATGCGGTTTGAATGCGCCGCGTTGAGCGCGCATGAAATGTCCTTATCTAGGTACGAATGTATCGACACTAATAAACCACTCGATATCCCCGCATATCACGAACTTTGACATGAAAGTACTGTCAGCTGTCCAGGCCCCCTGTTTTGCCCGGTCAAAGCCAAAAACCGTGCCTGGCCATCGTCTGTTTACGGCGCCTGGCCGGCTGGACATATGACTCAAAAGCGCCGTGTTTACCAAGCGGGAACAGGGTGACCCGTGAACCACATCGGCGTCCGGGAGTGCCGCCCCAGGCCGTCACCCGTCTGCAGCCGGCCGCCGCATCGGTGCCGGGAGCGCCGTCCCAGCCCGCCACCCGTCTGCAGCGGGCCACCTACCGAGTCCGTCCGTCTCGAACAGGAAGTTCTCCTGACAGCCGACCAGCCGGCAGAACTGCAGGAAATTGTAGACGTTGTCGCGCGCGAAGAATGAGCGCGAGCGCGCCCGGTCCCAGCAGCGGAACTTGAACGTTGGCGCCGGCATCTGCGGTGAGAGGAGAGGGGTCCCGCTCACGTTGGTGAGAGGAGAGGAGTCCCGCTCACGTTGGTGAGAGGAGAGGGGTCCCGCTCACGTTGTTGAGAGGAGAGGGGTACCGCTCACGTTGGTGAGAGGAGAGGGGTCTCGCTCACGTTGGTGAGAGGAGAGGGGTGCCGCTCACGTCGGTGAGGGAGAGGGGTTTCGCGCACGTTGGTGAGAAGAGAGCGGTCTCGCTACATCGATTAGGAGAGGGGCCCCGTTTACATCGGTGAGATCAAGCTGATTAACTTTCTCACACAACCACATTGAATCTAGATACCTCCTCTAAGCGAAAGGTCACTGATGTTCAATTAAGGTCAATGACATTGTTTGACCGTTATAAGGTCATGGTGACCCAAAATTCAAGGGGTTTGTTTTGATTTTTGCACTTGAAATAACGTCATTGAGTGCGCTAGGCGGCATGTTCTTAAAAAATGTTGACCTGGGTCGTTTTAGGTCAGTGGCCTACTCTGGCATTTAAAAAGCCCATGTAAGGTGTCTGTTGCAATCTCTGTAATAAATAAATTCAAAAAGAGCACCAAAAACTACCCTGTACAGCAGTGTCTCGAGTAGAAAACAGCTTGGTTTAGGCCTCGGCCTGACCTTCATACCTGACCCTGGGTCATTGGACTTTGTTGTAATCCTGAATTCAAATGTTTTATTGACTACGAAACTGTCTCAGAGATGTGTGGTTTTGCCAAGCACTTTGTTGTCGTATCAACTTAAAGAATTCCTAGAAATTCCCTTCACTGACAGCCACGGACTGACTTTGACTTGTAACAGGTCAGCATCCTACCCAGTGACAGCTATACTTTGGCATAGCAAACGACCCGCTATTCAACTGCCTACAGCTATGCAAATTTTGATGCGGCTACGCCACGTCGTTCGTAAATTATTCTGGAAAAAACCTTTGGGGGTTAAATGGGCCTCACCCGAGCGCGTGCCTAACCTCTCGTCGGAACAATGCAGGTATCAGACGGCTCCCTGAAATATTCGCCGAAAGTTGCAGTTACTGGTGACTCAGTTGAGCCCAGTATCCCACGGTCCGCCGGGGAACATTGAGTGCCCGTGCGGGCGTGAAGTGTGACCATCGTTGGGAGAGCTGCCAGATGAGGCCGTCTCCCAGGGCCAACCGCGTCCCAACTTTCGATCATGAATAAGCAAACTCCAGTCGTCCATCCGGTTGGGGGTAACCTCCAGTCTAAAACAAATTCATTGCTTGCATCTGGTACCAGCGGTCACTTGGCCTACTTCACCCGGTTACACAAGACAGCTTTCACCGTGTGATTCAACGATAAGTTTGTCTTTCAAGACTACTGTAGGAACACCAGACGGGATGGGGAGGGCGATACTTTTTCTTCTTTCGAAAGTCGCAAAAGCCCTTTGGCACAAGGTCGCACTAATCAGCCCGGAAAGGAAGTTCCTGAATGCCTTTACAATCTGCTGCTGAAACCTCCGTCGCCGGTGCTGCAGCATGATAAGCGACGCCGCCGGCGTGGCGCCGGCCCTGGGAGGTGGATGGGGGGGGGGGGGGGGGGGGACACCACCCGCCGAGTCCCGAGTCTCAGCGGGTCAGCGCCGGGCCACCCCCATCAGCCGGCCCCCGTCACTGCTGACGGGAGAACCCATTCTATAGTTGGGCTCGCGGTGGGGCTGACCCGCGATGAGCAAGCTAATGAAGACCGTTAAATGGCGCCGAATCTGGCGCTCGTGGGCAAGTCGACACGGTGCCTCCAGCGGAGCGATGGACTGAATGGGAAGTGGGGTGATGACGTTATATACGCATATGCTGAATGTTTCTGTTCGTGTCAGCCGGTTAGACGCCTTTTGACCTGTGCAAAGTAGGAGAATTTCGGTCACTTCGTCGCTACGTTGCCACAATGGACAATTGTCTAACACTAGAAACGGCCTGGAAGATTTGGTAGAATGCTTCGGCGATCATATTGATGATATTGGTGACTTCAGGTACCCGGGCGGAAATAAACGCCGCACTGACGTCCAAGTTTAAGGTATTCGTAGGCCACAAATGACTGTGGTTGCCATCCCCCGTGGAACTGCGTACCATCGGCCACGCACGACTGTGGCGACCACACATTCACCTGGCCTTCCGTACACCCGTGGAAAGCGAGATAACAACGTAAGAAATCACGCTAATGACCGCGTTACTGGCATCGACAAATGAGCCTGTCTATGTCTCCGTCAGCGGCGCCCGGACTGTGCTCACCGCCAGCGTGTGCGTGCGAGCCGCCTGGTCGGCGATGATCTTGGCCAGGCGGCACAGCAGCAGACCGTTGTCCAGCACGGCCATGTAGTTGTTGACATCGATGTGGTCGGTGCCTGGAGGCAGAACGGGTTGTGCGGGTCACTGACTGGGGTCAGGGTCACCGGGGTCGCTCGGGCCACTCGGGTCACTCGCTCGACTGGCGGCGACACGGGCGGCCGTCGGGGCGACCTTTGGTGGCGCGGGCTCTCTCATCCCAACGGCAATTCTTCCTCACCCATCACAATCACCGGGCGCGGGCCGGCGGAGCGGCCGCGGAGAAAGCCGTGGGCTGGCGCCGCCCGCCGGCCGGTCCGGTGTCACCCCGGCGCTCTTCCGGGCGACATCGGTGGGTGGCCCGTTTGGAGCGGTGACCGCACGACCCGACCGGCCGGCCAGCCGGCCGACCACCCGGGCACCCTTGCGGTATTGTACAGGTATAGCACACGCTGCATAGTTATTATTTCTGACAGCAGTGAACACACAAGGCAGCGTAGCGTCATGATCGCCTGACTTGGCTGTTGCCGGGGAAAATATGTGCTTCATCTCAGCAACGGTGATCGCGTTCTCAGTATCCAAAATTGATTGGCAAGCTTGGCTGCAGCCACCAGCGCCGCTGCAGCCTTCACCGCTCTGTACCAAAGCTCGGTACGTGACCCGCGTGACCAGGAAATACTGCGTCTACGCCTGATGTGCAGCCGACCTCCGCCGGCGATGGTCCGTAAGGTTGCACGGTCTGGGTCAGGAAGCGAGTCGCGGTGGGAATCTTCCCGTCCTGGTGCAAGGTATAGGGCACAGCGTGACACGGCCATAAGCACGGAAGTCTTGTTCCCAAGGACACAATCTGGATAAATCACAGACAAGGTTAATTGGAAGCTCTTGATCACGACTTGCCGTACTTTGCTTTAATGTGCCGAAGCGTTTAGTTACACCTGTTTTGTCTGAATTGAAAACAGCACCGCACGGGACATCACAATTACTTTCCGATTCTGGAAACCCGTCCGTTATGGACCGTGCTTTGAATAATCGACTGAAATGACACAAGGAGCGGGTTTTCGTCGTCGAAGAACACAGTGGATTCGCTAGGAATCGGTGGCCAGACAGAACAAAGACGTTTTTGTACGAGTTTTTCATCCGCTCGCTATGTGTCTCATGTTAGCACCAGATGTGGAGTACCCATTTGATAGCGCCACATAACGGAGCGCTCCATTTCCAAATTTCGCGGCACACATCGAGAACGATAACGTGTGTCGTATTCAAAGGGGATGTTTCACATTTGAGGATACTGAAGCTAGCATCAGACATGATGAAATGAGCTCACTTGTAACTTTTGACATACTTTTTAATGCTGTATTCCACATTTGTATGGGGTTTTCAGCTGAAAAAGCCATCCTGAAAATTATTCGGTGCCATTTACAGCCCTGCCCCCCCCCCCCTCCCTTCTCCCTACTACCTAAACCTATCTGGTCTCTGAGCTATACGCCCGCGCAAATGGGAGACAATTTCGGGGAGACTATTTCAAGGCCATCCAGGCATCCATGACGCCATAATAACGTCAATGAAATCTTGTCATGTCATGAGTCATGTGGTGATCAACGCTAAGAAAAACATAGTTGTCGATTTGTTCAAAGCTGACCGTTGTAAGCACGATTTCCAGATATAACGGCCATCAATTGGCTCTCATTCAATGCTGTGCAAGGTAATACAACGAAACCACAAAATGAGGCATGGAGGAGCATATTTACTAAACAGAGAAACTGTGTTGCCTGGAGGAGTCTTTTTCAATGAGAATTATACCAGCAGTTATAAGTGAGCTCATTTCATCATATCTGATGCTTGTTTCAATATGATAACATGTGCAACGTTTCCTTTGAGAGGAAAAGCCTGCCCTAAGCAGTACGACGTCAGTGTTAAGTAAATATGCTTCTCAGTACCTGCATCTTTGATTACGACAACGTACCTTGTATGACATTGAGAACCAACTGACGGTCGTTATATCACGAAATCTTGCTCACGAACGCCAGATGCGAACGAACCCATAATAATATTTTCCATGGCCTAGATCGCCGCGTGGCTTATGGAATGGCAGGATGTGAATGACGTTATTATAGCGTCATGGATGCCTGGGTGACCTTAAAATTGTCTGCCCGAAAAAGTCTGCACATCTTCGTGGGCGTGTAGCTCAGAACTCAAGAGGTTTCGGTCTAAAGAAGGGCAGGACTGTGAACCGACTGAATGATCCTCAAGATGGCTGTGCTGTTTCAAAACCCCATACAAATATGGAAGGAAGAGTCCCACCTTTGAGCATATTTCAAGAGCATGCTCTAGTAAAACTTCAGAACTAGTTACATCTTAGAGATAATACCACCGAATAGTGTCGTTGCAGCGCCGTCAAACATGATAAGGATGTCACTTTTAATTATTTTAAAGTCCAAATTGCACTGACAACGCTTTGCAACAGCACTACGTTTCTTCTCTGCAGTCGCGATCACCGCCGTCATGACACCGCCGTGCGCACCTCTACAGGTGGTAATAACAGAACGTCTGTGATTGATCCAGCGGGCGGCAAGAGCCTGTTCCCGAGACAAGCACTGGCTGAAGTTTGAATCAGTGCGTCACATGACTCATACTCTCGTTCTCAAGGCCATAGGGCACCTCGAACAAAGTCACAGTGGTAAACGCCACACGGGAGAATTCAAAGCCGTAGCATAAAAGTTTCGCTGAAATCGCGGGATAAGAGCTTCATGTTCGCATACATTTTTTGTCTGAACAGAATGTACCGAGCTTTCGCAACATTTAATACGCAAACACTTTGACACGCGTGTTGCAAACATGACAGAACACGCATGTTAGAACAAGAAAGGCAAATTAAATGTATTACTTGAACAGCGGCGGGCGGGTGGTCAAATGTTATTTCTCCTGCAGGGTCAGCTACTTCAAATAGAAATGTTGAGCTATTCAGAAAGACTTCCAAAAAAACTGGCATTACGGATCAACTTGCACGAGTCTGATGTACCAATTAGTGTAAAGTATAAAAAGGAGGGATATTCTCTTTTAAGGTACGCTTTAGTGTACCAATTCCTAAGCATTCACAAAATCACACAGTCATTCTCCATGGCGAACGTATGCATACAAACACACGAGTACGAAACCAACGGGGCGAATTCTTGAGACGTTGGCCAATGCTGGTATTCTCCAAACAGTTCGAAGCGTATCCAGCGCTCGCCACTGGTGAAGACCCTAAATGTACCTTAAAGGCCAGGAAAACGTAAATAAGGCCTAGATAAAACAACCGCTACCACAATAAAACACGGATCCTTTCATTTCCAGAGCACGTGAGTATTCATCCATGACGACCGTGAACGCGGCTGCCGTCCTACGCAGCTACAGCTGTCTTCTGGGCGAGTCCTGGATTAATAGCTCCGAAGCGACTAGTCCACGCGTCCCATGCGACAACATGTCGGAGCGGTGGGCCCATCGAGATCAGACTGTCATCCATCAGAGCGAGCCGAACAAGACCGAATGAAAGCAGAGCGAAACAGGAGCGCCTTTAACGCCCCGGTGAGGAACGCACGAGAGACCGTGCCCTCCGTAGAGCGAGCACAGAAGTCAAAACGGATCGTCATCCCGCGCATGAGAGCCACGTTTCCGATACATTGCGAACGCACCCGACCGGGGGCTCCTGCGGCTGTCAGCGGTCTCCTCCGAGCCGGAGCGCTGGCCTAATTACGGCCGCGTGAGGAGCGCACGCGCGGCCGCGCTGAACGCGCCCCGAGCGCCTCCAATCGCGCCCTCCTGACCTGACCCGGCGCCTCCCCGATGCGCGCCCGCGGCGCCAAACGTGGCATCGTGGTTAGGTGAGGCGCGGCCGCCCGGGTCGGCCCAGGGCCGGCGGCGGCACGCCCTCGGCCCAGCCGCCCGTGGGTGGACACCGAGGCTCGTGTTGCGTGCGTCACGTGATGTTTAGAAACCCGCCGGCGACCGCCGCTCCTCGGGTACGGTGGTTTCCAAACGTTGTAGAAATCCCTCGGAACGCGCGCCGTTCGGTTGACCGCAGTGGACGTGCGGTCGCCGAGGCGACTGCCTTGCTGGAACGAGCGGCCGGCGCGACCAGGTGCGACACACGCACACGCACGCACGCACGCACGCACACATGCACGCACCCACACACCACACATACACGTGACTGGAAGGGCGACGCCTCGCCGCCATGGGCCAAGAAAAACAATTCTGAGCTGGAAAATCGCACTTCCCACTTACCATTTCAGGCTGTCATAATTAAGTTGCAGAGCGCAATTTCGGCCAGCCACGATGGCATGCCACGCAAAGCATTTCTTTCGGAAACGGCTATGCCTTGTGCGATGTCGGCCTTCTAATTCCACCCAGGGATGCAGGTTGTACGCCCGAGCCCTCGTTACGGCTGCAGGTATCGACCCGCCGCTCTCGACCCGCTGAGGACCAGCCGTCTCCATCCGACGGCCCATTTTATTCAGGCTGTTTGGGCCCGCTCCGAATGAGACCTCAGAACGAGAGCGTACCCGGCCGGCGGCGACAGCCGTGATTTACACCCTCCCCAGACACGCCCCGGGCTTGATTAGTCACGCGCAGGTAACGGTCGCAGCGTGAGACGAAACCGAACACACTGACGCCTGTCCCGAAAACATGCTCGACAACTTACTACCAGCTGTTACATCCTCTTGTCTTTGTAAAGCTGGGTGTCGACGAAAGATGGGTGGCCGTGGTCGGGTGGTGGTTGGGGCGCAAGACTATGGACCCGTCGGTTTTGGGTTCGAGTCCCTGCCACGATACCACAGCATCACACGAGATACCTTATAAAGACATCTGTCTCGAAAGGGCCCGGGCAGTCGTAGAGACATTTAGTCTCATCCATAGATAAAATATATGGCGAAAGATGTGAAATTGTAGTTTACAGAGACCTGCAATTATTCCTCTGGCTTTGTTTGGAACGGCATGCTTGTAATTATACCAAGTCCAAACATCCTACGTATCACATTTTGCCAATGTTATCCGCACACAAACTGTATTTCTTAAACATCGCAATGGACTACATAGAACG